ATCCCTCCCACCCCACCCTCACCCCCTCACTAGGATCAGGGCACGTCAGAAGTCCTGCCCCGTCTGCAGGGCTCTGACAGTTCGTCCGGCGAGGAAAGCCCACAAGACTCTCCACGTCCCACCCGAGCGCGGCGCCACCTTGTGGTGAAAGCGGGGCTGCGCATTCGCGGGAAGCACCGCTGCGCCTGTGGACTCCAGGGGTCCAGCTCCGCGGTTTGCAGAGACGGGCGCGCCCTAGAGAGGGCTGTGCTGGCTGGGGGGCTGGGGGAGACCCAGAGCTGAGTCTGGGGCACGCACAGTTGGAGACGCCCGCGAGACACAGAGGGTGACAGCGTGTCAAGTTAACAGCCGGGCTGGGTCTGCAGCTGAGAGTCCAGAGCAGGGCTAGAGACACGGACAGGGAGAGCTGGCTCCTAACCAGCATTTAAATTCCTGGGAACGCAGGAATTGGCTCGGTGGAGAGTGCAGAGACAGGAACGCTGTCGTCTGCTGGATGGTGGAGGAGGAAGAAGGAGGAACTAACAACGGAGTCTCAGGAAGAAAGACCAGAGAGACAAGTGGGAGAAGAGGGCATCATGGAGCCGTGGACGAAAGCGTGCAAAGCGGGGCAGGTACCAGCTGCGTCCTGTGCAGCTGGGAGGATGGAATGGAGCAAACGGCACCCAGGATGTGGCTCCCCGGGTCACAGGTGACCAGGTCAAGGGCATGTCAGTCCAGTGGTGGCCTGATGGCTGTATGTTACGTCTGCAGGCGCTCCTGATACAGGAGGAGAAGCTGGTGTCACAGGCAGTTACTGATCATGGACACTACAGGGACGCCAGCTTTTTAAATCTGAGACAAAGATGTGGTGGGTGCTCCTCGCAGTTAGAAAAGGTGCTTCATGGCCATCTTCAGGTGCCGTCCTGCCTCCTTCCTACACTGTTTTTTCCTTATCTGATCAATTAGTGATTTCAAACAAGTCCCACAGAAGAGCATTGTGCCTCTGAGGTGTTTCCAACACGACTTTCCTGGAGAGGCCAGAGGCCACGACAAACCTGGGGGTTGCTGACTTCCGGAGCACAGTGGACCCGCCCCGCAGCCGACTCGGTGAACTGAGCTGCAACTGGGAGCGAGCAAAGTGTTTGGTCAGAAGACAGACCGACTTCACGGTTTGATTTTGCTGGAATGGCAAAAGGCATTCTGGTTTCCATTAGTAAAACTGGGTGAAATGCAGTTAACAAGAGAAGAATCCAACAATTTCATTCCCAGGGAAAAGCTGAACTCTCTGGGGCTCAGGGTCATTGATACTAAATTGTGACTCTACACAGAGCCATTTTAAAAGGCCATTACTGTTGGCTACTTTTTGTAGAAGTGATTGCTTTAAAAAAAGCGATTTGGGAACATTGTGTCTCATAAAGTAAAATAACTATTTCAAGAAGAACGAAGGTATATACTTTAAAAAGCTTTAAGTTGATAAAATGTATCAGACACTGTTTCATCTACTTTATAAATTCTCCCTTCTCTAACAATATGGACCACAAATTAGTTAATCTGTTTTCAGATGACTTACGTTAAACCTGTGATTTACTAAGCAAGATTTTTAAAGCCAGTTGGTGGGTGTTTGTATCTGTATCAAAACGGAGTTTAGTTACAGGAATGATGGCAAGGGGTGGCCTTCGACCACAGCCTTTAAAGAGGTATATGCTCAGGCTTTTATCTTTGACACGTCACGTTTTGTTGCCAAAAGGGGAAAACTCAACAGATACCATTCACTCCGGAAATGCACTCCTCGTAGAAACTTAGCCATTATCACAAATGACACAGTAGTAAGTATTACTGCCAGGATAATAAAAAGTATCAGAGATAATGCCTCTCAAATTATTCGGCAAATTCCAGGGCAACGTCTGCATCCAAAATCTTTCAAGAGTGTGAGAAGCTGGTTTCTGCAGCTGGAGGAAAACTGGGAACATAGAACCACAGTGACTTAAGTATCGACTGCAGAACACCAACTAGAACCAGAGAGGCAGGAGTGTGTACAGACGTGCTTCCGATGCCTCTGACAGTCCTCCTTCTAAAGAGACAGCAAAGAGAAGTCGTCTTCCGTCAGCAACGAAAGCCCGGTCTCCGAATTTGCCTCTAACCCAGACCGCACGCCATCCGCCAGCACGTGTGATGACAGGAAGCTGCTGGGGTGATCGGGGTGATGTGAGGAACTGCAAGTCATATATTTTCAAAACAAGATGCTGAGTTGTGTCCAGGTCATCTGGAAACAGCAACTTCATCTCTTCTTCGATTTTACGATGTCCAAAGTGTAACTCTAATCTTGGAAGCTGAGAAAATAACGGTTTTTGACAGACAGCACGTCTCCCCACCCCCTGGAGCATTCTCAACAGAAGCATGAGCCCCAGTTGTGCTGGAGCCTGGAAAGGTCCAGACGTCCTGCTGGTCCGGCTTGTAGGCTCTCGGCGTCTTCCGTCTGGGCCGCCCCACCCCGTTACAGGTGGTGCGGCCCCTCCTCCTGGCACCAGGCTTTGTCACCTGCTCAGTGGTAGCTCTGGCTCCACGGGGCCGAGAAGGCAGATTGTCAAGTCGGCTTAACATGTCGGTTCACCGAGGGCAGGGGCTTCACGTCTGGGAGGGAGGCCCCGGCCTGGGGGACTGTGTCTGGAAGTTACTGCGAAGACACCTGCCGGCCTTCAGCTCACAGCTGCTTCCAGACTACACCTCCTGGATGCGTTGCCGAAGGACCGATCTCCCCGGAGCCGCCGGCAGCCAGACGTGCCGTGCAATGCCCGCGGACTGCTGATTCTCAGCGCGGTCACAAGGCTTTGCCCTCTTCCCTCACCAGCTTCTCCTGTCTGCACCCAGGGCGCCTGCTACGCCCTCGTCCATGCCCACCGCCTAGTTCACAGAACTGTTTAGCAGAAAAACCCAAGTGAAGTTTCAGTGGGGCCAGGCATCTTTGTCTGGACACTGGGATGCACCTCCCTGTGTTTCCATGCACTTACCGTCTGGTCCAGGTGGTCCAGGAGGGCCAGGGGGCCCTCGGAGCCCTGGCTGTCCATCAGTTCCTGGTGGGCCGGGGTACAGTGCGGGGACACCCGGCTCTCCTGGGAAGCCTTTCGGTCCCATTTCCCCAGGCAAGCCTCTCTTCTCATCTGAAAACCCAACAATCACAGCACTGTGAGACTTGCGGTCTTCCCCCGCTGCACTGGCCCTCCTGCCCACGGGAGACCCCAGCTGGGCTAGCGGTTTACGGCCCAGGCAATCATTTGAGGGCAGATGCTGCTGGTATATTTCAACACCATCTTTCTGCTCTAAAAAGCCCCCTCCTTGCCCCTGGAGGATGGCCAGAGACTTGCTGGAACGCCTGGCAATGACACTGGATGATTCCTGTGGTCTTCTGGCCACCTGACGGAGTCACACTAGCTGTCATCAGCAGCATGTCTAACCTAGTTAGGGAGCCACCGTCCCAGGTGCAGTGGTCCTGTGACGACATCCAAACACGTGTTTGAGATGCATTAGAGCTGCTGGGCCCAGGGTACAAGACAGAGCACCGGCCGAAGGCTGTGCAGCCAGCGAGGGGCCATGGTCTACGTGAGACCCAAGGGGACACCTTTGTCTTGACACCCCGGATGCAAGTTACCTTCATCTCTGACGGACGTGCCAGGGAGACCTGGCGGGCCGGGGTCTCCTGGCTCGCCCCGGGCTCCCGGGTCCCCGAGGGCTCCTGGGAATCCTGGGTCACCTCTGGCACCTGGAGGGAGACAGTCCCACGGTGAGAACAAGATGTTGCCCAGGACCCGAGGTAGACGCTCACTTCCTCGCTGACCGCGTATTTGCCAACACCCTGTGCATCACAGGCGGCCTGGGGTTCGAATGTTTGACCCACAGTGGCTCCTGCTTTCAAGGAGCTCGTTCCCAGCCAAACAGGGCCGGTACAAACATCCTATAGACACTACAGGAAAAGAGAGGCACGGAAGGCCCGGAAGATAGGGATGTTTCAAAGTGGGGGAGGATTATTTGGGGGAAACCTGGTGTCGAGGGACTGTAGGCAATGAAAACAACAGAAGCAGACGATGTTCTGGAGCTCCTGACCGTGCACCAGGCTCAACGTTACAAATGTCACCTGCATTTGGTTCCCATGAAGATGTGTGTCCGGCCAGTGTCACAGCCCTGGCGTCACAGAGGGGCAGGCCAGTGGGGTTCATGGAGAAGGCTGATGGGGACAGATGACACGGCCAAGGGAAGGACACCCAGGGGACCTCAGCCCAGCTGAAGGCACAGAGGAGGGGAGCCCTGAGCGGGACACCGGAGGGTCGGGGTCCAGGGAACGTCGTGGAAAATCAGGCCGGTCAGAGCTGAGGCAGCGGGAAGGAGTGAGACGACCAGGCTCTCGGGCAGCAGGCGCCAAGCGGGGGCTGGGGGCTGACTCTCTGAACCCCCTTCCCCGAGCCCCAGCTCTTGCCCCGACTGACTGTTCATAGCTGTTTGCTGGATAAATAACAGAGGTGACTGCTCTCACAGAGCCTCCCCCTAAACAAACAAACGCCAGGGGCTGCGCTCCCCCCCGTGGCCGTGGGAGCAGCCGCGCTTCGCCGCGGAGCGCGTTGTTCTGCGGGACAACCGGGAACCGGGAACCGGGAAGGGGGCTCGCGAGCCTTCATCTGTGTGGCGGTGCCTGATGGTTAGGGAAGATCTCAGTGATCTTTAATTTTTTAATCTCAAAAGGAAGTCCTTAAGAGAAGGAGAGATTTGCTGGGCCTCCTGCTTGACATGTCCCCAGAAGGGGTGGGAGATGTGACCCTGCATCCTGTGCTGGGCTCGGCCGCTGGGGAAGGGCTGGAGGGCTGGGCTCCGGCAGGGGTCCGGGTCTGAGCCCTGCTCCTCCACTGTTCCCCATGGGGCCTTGGGCAAGTCGCTCAACTTCCCTGCCTCAATTTCCCCATCCGTAAAACGGGGCCAAGGCCCGTCCCCATCTCAAAGGGGCTTTACAAGAAGTAAGTCAATTGACCAGTCCAGCGGGGACATCTTGCTTCACTACCTGGCGTGTGCATAGTCAGCACCACACAAGCGTCAGCCATGGTCGTGACTGGATAAGAAGAGACCACGCAGAACTGAGAACTGCAGATCTCGTGTGTTTGGAAGAAGAGCAAGGTCGGTTTCAATCACCTTGCAATCCTCTTTTGAAATGCCAAGTTCCCCTTCCCCCTGAGCTCTGACAAGCTCCCCCAGTGCTGCCTGCGAGGGGGACCCCTATTCCCCTCTCTTTTGTGTTAGGATCTGGGGCCCCGGAGCTCCGCCCGCCTCCCAGCCCACCCAGGACACAGGAACGCCGCTGCTGCGCCGCTGCCGCCAGAGGTGAGGAGGGCGGCTGCAGACTTTCTAACCCCACGCTTGGGAAGAAGGGACTTAAACCCCCTGCCAGCCCAGGGTGGTTTCCAGAAACGCAGGGCGGTGAAAGGGAGCTGAATGCATTGTGGGCTCTCAGTCGGTGATGCTTTTGATGAGTGCAAAAGAGACATTGCCCCCGTTAATTTTTAGAACTATGTTCCCAATATCACCTCGCACCTGTCAGAAGAACACAAAAAACAAGTGTTGGAGAGGGTGTGGAGAAACGGGAACCCTCCTACACTGTTGGGAATGTAAACTGGTGCAGCCACTGTGGAAGGCAGTTTGGGAGCTTCTCAGAAAACTAAAAATAGAGTCACCATACGATCCAGCAATCCCTCTCCTGGGCATATATTCAAAAAACCAAAAATACTAATTCAAAAAGATACATGCACCCGAAAGTTCATAGCAGCACTATTTACAAGACACGGAAGCAAGCTAAATGTCCATCGGCATGCCTGGATAAAGAAGCTGTGTGCAAACACAAAGGAATATTACTCAGCCACAAAAAGAATGAGATCTTGCCATTTGCAGCAACATGGACAGCCTTGGAGGGCATTCTGCTAAGTGAAATAAGTCAGAGAAACACAAATACTGCATGATCTCACTTCTACATGGAATCTAAAAAGTACACTAAGCTAGTGAATACACACTAGTGAACGAGCGAGTAAAACAAAAAAGAAGCAGACTTCCAGACTGAGAACAAACTAGTGGTTCCCAGTGGGGACAGGGAAGCGGGGAGGAGTAAGATAGAGGTGGGGCAAAGGGTTATCGTGGGACTGTGCGAAGTCATGGGTGTGAAACCTCTGAACTTCGTAAAGCACTATAGAATTTAAAGAACCTTTCACTTAATAAAAACAAAATTATAAAGTGGGTTGCAAAATAAAAAAAATTCAGTTCCCAAAGCCTCAAAACACATGACTTTCATTTTAGCAAAATTGCCAACAGTCAGTCAACCTCATGTTCAGCCCCTGGGGTTTCAGCTTGTCAGACGCATTGGGCCCCCCAGAGGAGGAGGGGAAGCTGGCCCCACAGAGGGTGGACTCCGGGTGTAGAGTTTATTCAAAATACACTCGTCGATGGTTTGATGTCGCCCTGGAGAGAAATCTCGAGGGGACCCCGCAGGCCCTGTCTTCGGCCCTGCTCTGTCTATGGTCTCATCAACATTGGATTAAGACACACAAAAGTAGCTACTAAACCAGCAGATGGTTCATACCTGAGCAGGACGGTGAGCCCTTGAGCCCAGACGCATGTAAGGGGGGGGTGTGCTAGGAGGAAACAGCAGAGCGTCTTTATTCTAAAAAATATCACCCTTTAAAATCCCTATGTGATGTGTGTATTTTAGCAGGTACAGAATTCAGTCCTTCAGGTGGTACTTACTGAGCACGGACCATGTGCCTCGTACTGCTCTAGGAACTGGGGATGCAGCAGTGACTGCATGGCTAAAACCCTTGCCCTCATGGAATGTCCTGTAACATGGAATCAACATCCACAAACAAATATCCATAAGACTATTTGGAGGAGTGCCGAAAACAAGTTTTTTTTTTTTAACCTGGAAGGATGCACATTCGAAAAGTTCAGAGACCACTGCTGTAAGTGCAGAATTAGAATCCTATGCCAACAGATGGTCCAGATCGGAAGGCTGAGCGACACTAATGGGAAGCGCACAAGCCACAACACCTGCAGAACCCTTCCTTCACTGACACACAGGGGTCCACTGTGACCATGGGAGCGTCTTCCAGTATGAGCTCAGCTGCAAAGCTGGGGCTTTAGTTCTTTGAATTTTAAAAGGATGTGACAATTCCCAGGTTATGGACTGTGGTCAGTTCTGGGCTTCACACCTGAAAGCAGGAGCACCCTGCTCCCCAGGACCAGAACCTGCACAGGGTGTTTTGAAATGAAAGCCTCTCCCGGGGTGGAAGGTCGAGGGTGTGCTCTCAGGCAGAGACAGAGCGAATGCTTCCCTGTGATGTCCCACTGAACCCCCGGGAAGTGGTACCCAAGACTGAGACCCTCTGACGCTTAAGTGCTAAACCCCTTGGCTTTGTTGTTGTTGTTGCTTGTGTTGTTTCATTTAGCTCAGAACATCTTTCTCGCAAGTCCCTGACTCTGTCTGCAACAGACATGAACACACAGGACAAACGCACACCGACCTTTGGCCAGGGACGGGTGAGGGGAGTAGGCCGGCGGGCCGGGGGGCCCTGGGTCTCCCGTTTCTCCCTGGAGAAAGAAAAGAGGGGAACAGCAGGCTGTCTGGAGTTCTGGTCACTGCGTGTTTCCAAAGAGTAAAACCAAACGCGGAGCGTGAGCCTGGCAGGGGCTGCTCTGAGTCCCAGCTCCACGGACCGGGCCCAGGCCCCAGGCCCACTGTGCCGCGCTGACGAGCCAGGCACCCCAGCCGCCAGGCAGGCACACCAGCAGAGAGCAAAGCGGGCAGGTGACCCTCACTCTGAGACCCTCGTCAAACCCTGGAAGTGGCCGGGCAGTCTCCCTCCTCAGGGCAGACTCGTCGGTGTTGATGACCCCACCTGAGCCGCCCGTCGGGGCGAGCTGGGGGCTGGGCTGCACCTGACTTGACACCGTCCAGATTGTGACACCTGAAACTCCACAGGCTGCCCTGACGTCTCCGAGCCTCATGGGGTCCTGAGGGCCCAACCGCGAGTCCCCCATCCTCAATGGCTGTGCCCCAACCTGGTGGGATGCGCACCCCCCAGCCTGGCTAGTTCCCCACCAGCTGGAGCCACTGCGCCCCGCCCCCTCCCCCGTCCTCAACCTCCCTGCCAGCCCCTGGGATTATTCAAACAAGCCATCACGTCTCTCCGGGGAAACAGGGGGCACCCCACCCTCTTGTTACTACAGCATCTGCCTCTCTCAGCCCCCGGGTTTGCTCTGCTCAGGGTGGGGTGCAGTCCCAAGCGCCACCTCCACGCGGCACGCGGCATCCTGAGGCTGGAACACGGGTGACTAACGAGCGAACGTCCGCCTCATCCCAGTGCCGGGTGCTGTGTGTTACATACATCACATGACAGCACACAGGATGGAGGACGCCTGCTTTCCCAGCAGGCGAGGTGGGTGGACCGCAGGTGGCCGGGAGGTGGTCAGAGCGCCACCCAGAAGAAGGAAGTGGAAGCCATCTGGAAGGAAGCCGAGCCCACCTTGGGTCCTGGGTATCCGTCAGGTCCTTGGTAACCGTCTAGTCCTCGGCTTCCCTGCAGGAAAGATGTTTGGTGCTCAGTTTTATCTCTAAAATGTAATTTAAAGATGTGACCGCAGTACCTTATACCTGACAGAATTAACAATAATTCCTTAAAATCACCTACTATCCATCTTTTCAATTTTCTCTGATTTAAGTCTCAAAGATGTCTCTTTAAAGTTACTTTGTTTGAATCAGGATTCAAAAAAAGTTGGAATATGACATTTGGCTGCTATGTCTCTTAATATGCTTGTAATTTCTAACAGTTTTCCTTTCTTCCGTCTTAGTACCTTTTTGTTGTTGCTGTTGAAGAAACTGGGCCACTGGAACGGCAAGCACCCTCCCTGGGGATTTGTCCACTCCGTCCTCACGGGGCTGTGCAGTGTGAGCCCCCCACCCAAGCCCCCTGCCCAGGTTTCCTCTAAACTGCTGGTCAGTCGTCTTTTGAGCGAGACCCGTTGCCGGCAGGTCCCCAGTGCTCCCTGCCACGTCACCCTGGGCACACACGCCGGCTGCCCCCCCCCCGTGGGGATTTTAACGATTGTCCAGTGGGGGCCGGTGGTGACAACCTGATCCATCTATTAGAACCTTCTTCCAAGATGGGTGTTGAAAAATGTTAGTTCACACCAACTAGAAGCAGTATGCCTCTTACTTCAGAATTTTTTGCTCTTCACTTAAAAAATCTTTAATGCAGATCTCTGCTTTCTAATTCCCTTGAATATGGATTGAAAGACACAGTTTATCCTTATGAGCCACATCATATCTGGACAGGTATGTAAGGATTTTTTTAAAAAAACCTAGGAATGTATTCGCTCTTGCTAAAGAACAGCTACAGCACGGCCCCCAGGTCAGAGCGCCAGCGGCGCAGAAATGTCCACTATCTGATTATTTTACAGGGAGTTTTGAAACCCAGGACCATGAATGCTGAAAATCATGCTGTTCAGAATGAACTAAGACTGGTTTGTGTTTTTCATCGAGGGGGCCTGGGGGCTATGGTGTGGACTGATCTTCTCTCACACCAGTGGGGCTGAAGATTCCGAAGTGATGGCAAGTTTCTCTGATACTAAGAGTGATCTCCTACTTCGAGTCCACCCCTGCGGTGGGCTAGGACCTCTTCAGGGCTCAGAGTGACTGGGGAGACGGAGCCAGGCATCCCCTCCAAGCGGCGTCCAGCGCCGGCACAACGGAGCAGCTCAAACAACGCTACAGGACCTTCTGCGCCACCCAGCACGGCCCAGCCACGCTGCGACACCAGCAACGAGCCTTAACAAGTGTCCCCAGATACCGAGTGCTGGCCGCCTGCTGGCCACGTCGAGTAAGCCCAAAGAGCACTAACACTTGTAAAATATGTCCGAACAGCTGGGAATTAACTTCTCAGAAGAAAACCAGCTGGAGAAAGGGGACAAGTAACTGGCACTCAGGACTCCTCGGAGACCTCTGGCAGCTGGAATCCCAGTCACCGGGAATTCCAAGAGCCGGAACTGTGGTCGCACGCGTCCCTGGGAGTTCTCAGCAGCAGACGAACTGCCGGGGTGGGGGTCGGCGCGGGCTGAGTATTGTGTGGAAGGTATCACTCAGCAGAGGAAAGGGAAAAATGCACCCCCACGGCTCATCTGAGGCCACTGGCAGCGGGACCCCCAAGAATCAAAACAATGATCTAAACTGTTCCCTTCGCATTTCTTGGTGGCAGATACAACAGTAGAGGTGGGGGGACACTGGGGTTCCCCAGATGTCACATTACCTCCTGTGATGGAGTCGTGAGCAGGACTCAACGGCGCCATGATTCAGAGGCTGAATCGATCTTTAAAAGTATGTTTCTAGGCACCTCCTAGGACTGAATTATGGAAATGCTGGCCGGTAGGCACCAAGATGTGTGCACCCTAATGCTGACTGCACACGCGTGGAGCAGCCAGCGGCGGGAAACCACCAGCAGGGGCTCGTTAAGCAAATGCGGTGCAACGTGTTTACTTGGGTCCGAGCGGCCGGTTGGCAGAACCGTGCAGGGGGTGCGTGCTGCCGTGGGAAAGCCTCCAAGCACGTCGGGCGAGAAACACAGGCAGCAGAACAGCACAGACACATTCACTTTCGGGGCTTAAACTGCGTGTGTGTAATAACACACGCCCCCACCCGTGCGAGCACGCAGCTGAACCCCACGCGGCTGAACCCACGCGGCCGTCTCGGGGGGCCTGCAGGGGGTCTGCGGCGGGCGGGGGGCTGCACATCCTACGCCCGAGCTGGTGAAGACAGCGAGTAGTGAAAATAAATGAGTCATTACTTGAGAAAGCAATTTCTATGTGTGCTTGCTCATGTGACCCAGCGTTCAAGCAGCTCGAAGTATGATCCAGATTCGTGAGACATTTCTCACGTGACATTTTCTTCCAACCAAATGGCCAAAAATCTGTCCACCAAACATATGATAAAAATAACGAATCATCACTGAAGATAAAAGCAAGTGTCAAACGTGAGAGATCAATGCATAAAAAACGTGGGCGGACCCGTGGCCACCACATGACAACCTTCCTGAGGGGGGCTCGGGGGGACACAGAGGAGGGGGCCGACTCGCGGGGGCGGGGCGATGGGCGGCCTGGAGGGAGGGGCCCCGAGGGCTGGCTTGCAAGACAAGGGAAAAGGGAAATGAGTTCACTTACGCGTCTTGTATGATTGGCTAGGAAGGGTTATTACTGCTATTGTGAATGTGGGGAAGGTATAGACGTTTTTTCTGGGGGCACTTTTTCCAGGGGCTACCACAGTCTTCATATTTGACTTTTGTAAGCTGTTTCAGGCCCAGAGCAGACTGCGTGTCAGGCATCCAACTTACTTTCTCTCCCAGCGAACCTTTCTCACCGTCGAAGCCAGGGGCACCCTGGGTGGAACAGAAAACAGAAGAGACAAGAGCTCAGAATACGCAGTGAACATTCCTGGAGGCTGCGTGACGCACCTGACGTGGACCAAAGTAAACACTTCGCTGTGAAGGCACAGGGCCCTCGGGAGCCTCCTTGAATTTTCTGGAGGAGGGGGTCACCCTAGCGTCACCCTCCTGTAGTGCACCACGTCCACCGCCTGCAGAAACGGTGCAGAAACGGGCGTGCACCCAGGCTCCCGGAGTCTCTGCTCCTGTTTTGGAGACTGCAACATGTCCTCTGAGCGGCAGTGGCCCCCAGAGAGTCACCATGAGGCCATTCTCTCTCTTCCTGGCGCCTGGCTCTCGCCCAGTTTCCAGCTCACCTGGGCTGGGTTTGGCGGCTGACCGAGTTCTGGCCGAGGGAGGGAGGCCTGCCCTCGGGCCCGGGAGTGACAGGTGGCCACGCCTCCGCAGGAGGAGGCACCCCCGCCGCTCGCCCCACCAGGCACATTTTTGTTGGACTTTTAGGGCAACAAGAAGTCAGCTTCTTGGAGACAGCCTGTGCTTTTGCTTCCACTGGGTAGTTCAGCTTAGCTGATACGGCAGAAGCGCTCTGAGATCTGTGCCGGCCCGCCAGGTGGAGGTGCGGTCCCGAGCACCCGGCCGCTGGCTGACAGTTGCGTGTCAGTCAGCGC